ATCCGAAAATGAACGTAGGGAGGAATGCCTCATTATCACGTGTGATATTGGGCGGTATATAAGCCTGCTATTTTGATGAGTTGGGACAAAACGGTTCCATGTGAACTCTGTGCAGTTGGTCTCCACGTAACATATTTAGTGGAATACTCATAGAAAGCGGTGATTGTGCAAAGACTCTGTGTTCAACGTGATTGAAATTTTGGTTTAGCATTTTCTCTGTTTGGTTATGGAGGTGTTTGGCCATGTAGATTGTAGTCAACTTGACCTTTACAGGCTCTAAGGAAGGCGAAATCCGCCGAAACGTCAGTTTGTACGTAAATAAAGAAATTAAGTAACACCTCGTGTTTGCTGAACAAAAGTAGAAAAAATTATTCAATCAATGCCGAGGTTAATAGAAAGTCGGACTTGGTAGTTACTGACTCGATACTTCGATAGGCAACTCTAACGATGCTTGATGAAGTCGAATGGATGATGCGTCCCTCACCGATTAATCAACGCCGAGAACTTTGCCATTTTTTTTCTTTTACAATATATTATTACAGTGACATACTAGGTGTATACTGTGGTGGGTATGAAAGAGCATATATCGAAACGTTAGAGTTCGTTGTTCGAGCCGTGCTCGCTCTACTGGATTCGATTCGGTGCGACGGTGAGTACCCACATCGCAACAACGACCAGCTTGGGACCATCGACTCGGAACAGTGCGGCTGTTAAAAGAGCGAAGGATCCGAAACTTTAGCCGAATAAAATTTCTATACCAACGTCGTGTCAGCTCAATCATGTAGAACATTATTGTGTTCACATGACTGACATGAATGGAATTCACGCAGTGTATATTTGTAATGTCATCTTCGTTGCCTTTTATTTTGCCGTTTCAATAAGAATCTCCAGCTGTTTCTGTATCAGCCACACTGCACGTCATTTAAAGTGCAGAGTGGCCCATATTGGCATCTGTGGGATATAATTCGTTGCCAAGGTGGGTGTTGCTACTTGCACGTCTACAAGTGCCATGATCCGACCTCCAGGAAAAACAAGACGTCCGATTTCTCCAACAGATGGGTTTCAATAAATACTGTTGCAAGTTGGAACAAATCAGAAGCCAGATGTTTTATACACATGTTTTCTAACAAATATTGTAACAAAACACAGCAGTGTAGCGAATTGTAACTGCAACAAGTTTTCCAATGAGATGGTTGAGTTCAGTTAAATACACAATATAACTAGCATCAATATGCCATTACTACGTAGGGATTGAAAGTGTATCAATGGAAACAAAATTTTTCTAAAGAAGAATAAGTGTTTTGACAAAGGCTCGTTAGCTACTTTAGACTAGTTCTCTAGGAGTACAATGAAGGCTATCTAGCGAGACTACAGAGCGAAGTTAAGGGCTTATTTATGGCGGTATAGTGCTGCCAACCAAACTTGATATGCGGTTTCCTTATCAGCCTGTCGAACCACAATATTTTATGTTATTCTAGAAGTACTGCGCATAACCAGATCAATGAGAGGCTGGGATTTCGTGGGACTTTCTTCAAGTTGACATTTATTAATGCCTCCACCACCTTAGAATCGCACCATACCCGGAATATACTGCGGGTAACAATAAGAATTACATGCTGAAGAACAGTGAGTGAGTAGGGAAAGAGGTATTAGTTTCACATATGAACACATGCTAAGAAAACAAAATTGGATTTTTCACCAGAGAACCACAGGATTTGGCACAGCGACGATCTCAAGCTTCATAAACCACTTTTATGTTGCATTCTCAACTAACCTGGTTTATTCTTGCACTCACAAAGGCCTTATTCCCACTTTACACTTGATTTCGCTTGATAATTGTTCATAATAATGAGTGGATTTAGTTTTTGGGCCGTAGCCTAGTCAAAATCTGAAATCTTATGCTTCAGGCTAAAGCTTCAAATATGGAAATCAGGAACAGATCAGCAGCTGGTGTCATCCGAGTTTATTCGTTCCTTGTCTTGTAACGTCTGTGACTGCTCCACGTTCTCCACATATTTGTAGCGAGCCGCTAAATCACGTGTCTAAGGATTGCTGTGCAGTAGAAAGAATTAGGTTGCACGCGCCCACTATTACATGCAAACATATGTATACATAGAGATAATTAGAATGTGGGCTCCAAAATGTTCCCAACGATTCAAAGTAGTTAGATAGTAACAGCGGACATCCCTCGCTTCCTTCGATACTGTTCTCGAATACAGAGACCCAGCGTTCATCTGACCGAATGCTCATCGCGATGAAAAATGTTATCGCCTTTCCAGAATGAACTCAAAAATGCCTTATCGGTATCGAGCTTACTAACAAGAGATCAGAAAAAACTTACCTAAAATAATAAATATTGCCATTGTGAGTATCATGAGCAGCGCATAGAAGAAAAACTCCATCGCTGGTTCCGGTATGATGTGGGTGCCACTAACCGCCATGTCGATTATGTTGCCCATGAAGACCGTGAGAAGCCACATAGCCTAAGATTAGCAACATCGAGAACCGCTTCGCCAGTAGTATAAATGTTTACGTATTCTCTCACGATATTTTTTACAAACAGGATTTGGTCGCGATTTCTGAATAAGTGGTCAATTTGAGCTGCTACGGCTATTGCATTTATTTAGGTACTGTATTGTTTATTAAACCCATTTAGTGTTACACTTCTTTCGTCCTATCAATTTATCGATAACAATTTGTCTTGGATTTTAAAAATCCAGAATAAAAGCTAAAAATATGAGCGCTAATTCATAGGTCTGCTATGTGGTTGCTGGCACGGTATCTCCTCTTACACCTCGAAAGCAGCTTATGCTTCTCACCTTCTTAGGTTTGTATTCTGGTGTATGCAATTCCTCCTTCATATTGTTCTCCATGTTTACTAAATTCCACGTACACGTGCGAAGCGATCTATGTAATCAGAAAATCATCCAATTCGATTTCTTCCGGTTCGCACCAGTTCTCCATCCAGATGGTTATTTCGTTCAACTTTCTGCGTTTCTGTGCAATCCTTTCCCCACCTCCCACTTCGTCGAGCTCATTGAGCCTCCATTCCTGCTCCACAGTTGCTTCTCGAAAGGATAATAATCTAATTACAAAAAAGTGGCTTCCTTATATGGATATATCATCGAATTCTGTGCACTTTCATTTAATCCAATGAATTCATCATCCACTGCAAGACAATGATGCAACTTTGAAGAGATGACTTCGCCGTTTCGGACACCTTCAACTATAGAGATGGTGAGGGGTCGATATAGACTCGGGTGTGATTTCTACAACAGTAAGCTAGAGTTCTTACGTACGACCGCTTCGTTTGTTGGCCGACGAAAACCGATAGAATTGCATTCGTTTCGACGCTATCAAACACTTTTTGATAGCTGAAAAACGTTATATCAAGGGATGTATGATGTTGCCGATACACTTCTATGGATAAGGAATTGAAGCGGTTCATGGACTAGTCTTGATGGATCCTGAGTCTTCGACTAGGTGCGCTCCATCTAGATTTTGATATATACGCTAGGATCACCTGAGTAAAGAACTTATAGAGTATATTGAACAAGAATACTATCCAGCATTTATGAAGCCTTCTCCGATCACCTTTTTTGGACAGTATAGCTGTGCTCATTACCTTTCGCCGGCATGAGGTACTTTGCTTCTGAAGCCTTTAATGTTATCTGAAACTGGAGCCGTACCACAAGGCTTTCCATAGCGATTTGGAACAAAAAGACAAAAACTCTATGTGGTAGTTTTTCCCCAACGGGAAATTTCTCCTCGAATAATTCTTTACTGACAGCTGAAATAAGACGTGAATCTCTTGCTTGGAAAAATGATCCGAATTTGACACTGATTTTGAGCACTTCGACGACCAGCTCCTACTTCTTGATGAAACCTTTAATCTGCCATTTATGCAAAAGCAAGATCTACCATATCTAGCAGTAATGACAAAGTCTTTTCCAGCCCATAGGTGAATTGAAGCAATGAGCAGATCTAATGTAGAATGATGAGACGTGTCATAGAGGCCCTATTTCTTGCTCGTGAGGATGCAATTGACCTTCCAATCCTGTTGTTAGGCGACGTATTCAGTCTTTTTTTCAGTAAGAACGATTCCCTATCGAAGAGGTGCGCTGCCAACAAGAGCCCAGCAAAATAGTGGTTTTCATTCGCATTTGGATTTCCTATTCCAAATTTCCCAACGCGGTACTC